ACAGGTGAGAAGCAGTGGCTGTGCCTGTCAAACTTGGCTGCTGACAGACTTCTATTTTTTAAAAAAATTATTTATTTATTTATGTGGTATAGAGTCTCACTGCACAGCTCAGACTCATAGTGATCCTCCTGTCCCAGCCTACCCAGCTCTGGGATTATAGATGTGCGCTACAATGTCCAGCACAACATCTGGTACTGGGGATTGAACCCAGGTCCTTGTGCTTGCCAACAAGACACTCAGACGGCTGAGCTATCTCTCCAGGTGCCACTGACAGACTTCTGAGCATGCTCATCTAGTAAATTTTACACTGAAGCAACCACACAGAGAGGAAAGATAATGAAAAAGCCTCAAGAAGGACCTAAGTTTTGAATTTCACTTAGTCTCCACCTTCCACCAGGCTGCGCTTGGACAGTCCAGTCCCCTGGGTAGGAAGGAGGAGCACAATGAGAACCCCACTGGATGTAGTGGCAACACACACACACACACACACACACACACACACACTCTTCTTTTACAGAGATTCTTCTAGGATAGAAAGATGGGGACTCATTTCAAACAAAGGGAGCTAGTAGAATTAAATAGATGAGTCAATTAAAATCATCATTATATAAATTCACATATTTAATGCTGATTTAATTTCATTGTCAGGCTGGCAAGACAACTCAGAGGCTTAAGTGCTTGCCTGGCAAGCACAAGGTCCTGAGTTTGATCCTGGTACCAAAAAAAAAAAAAAAAAAAAAAAAAAAAAAAAGGGAAAGAAAGAAAGAAAAGAAAAGTTATAGTAAGGGATGCAATTTATTTATTTATTTATTTATGGAACCGGGGACTGAACTCAGGCCCTTGAGCTTGCCAGGCAAGCACTTATTCCACTGAGCTATCTGCCTGGCCCAAGGGATGCATTTGAACTACTGGCCATTACTCAAAATCTTTCAAATGATGTACAACATGTGTAGTGGTTCTTATATTTTAAGGTAGTTGAATCTTTTCTTCACATTCTTTGCTCTGCTTATCAGACAAATGCACTGTAAGAAACACATGCATTTTTGGATGAAACGCCTTTGCAGGAGTGAGACACAAATGTAAGTGAATATCTCTGTGCACGTATGTATAATAGTATAACATAAGGTGAAAGAAATACTAAGATAACAGAGAGAGAGAAAGAGAGAGAGAGACAGAGAGAGAGAGAGAGACAGAGAGGGGGAGAGGGGTAATGTTAGAGAACAGAGAAGGGCTAAGGAGAAACATGTCAAAGAGGAGCTTGGGAGAGGAAGAGTGATTTTGATGCTAGAATTGGATGGCGAAAGTAGTGAGGGAACTGAAGGCCACCTATGAGCTGGCCATGCATAAATGAACCTTGGGGACAAGCTAAAAGTGTAATCAGATAAAGCTGAAAAGCACCCAGAATTTACTTTGAAGAAAGGATGAAGAAAACGTTGGTAGGCTCAGGCCACACTACGGGAGATTCTGAATGTTGGACTCAAAGTTGGGGTTTGCTTAGTTATTCGATAAGGATCACAGACAATTTCCAAGCGAGGAACGACAGAATTCAGGCACAGAGAGGAGGAAAGGCAGACAGCCACCGTGATTAGGAAGCTGTTGCTGAAGTCTAGCTGATGACTACTCCTAGAACTCAGATCGTAGCAGGGGGAACGGAAGGAAAGACAGGGAGAGCTGGGCGACCTTTAAGTATGTCTGCCTCACAGAGAAGAAGTACACTCCTCCATCACTTAGAGTCACTCTGAACCTGTTAAGCGTCGCCTGTTGTCACAAAGGAATGCTGAGTACTGAAGGAGGTATAATTTAACTCTCACAGTGGCTAGGGAAGGGGGTCTTTAGGTCTTGCAGAACTCTATATCCGTCTCAAAAGCGAGCCTTTCCATCAGAAAGGAAAGAAAATGACAACTCTGTCATGCCCTATCCTCACAGGGAACTTCCTACTGTGAAAACTGCTAGCACAAGAGGGGAGAAAAGGTCAAATTAGAAAGTTACCCCTTCTCACATTTCACACTGCATTCATGCGGAACACTGTATGCTTTGCCAAGCCCTTTCCTACTCATTTTCTCATTGTCCCTAAAGCAGTCCTGGTGGTACTGAGCATGGAAAGGACTGGCCTAATTTTCTAGAGGAGGTAACTATGTATCTATATATAGTTACATTCTCTTAATAGAGTGATTTGTTCTAATAGTGTTTGTAAATAGGATATCATGTCTGCATCTTGAACAGCAAATAACCACTAGGAAGAGAGTATGCAATGTGTTAATGGAACTGTCCTACCAATTTGATCTGAAACTGCCTCATTGCTATTTGTTTCTCAATAAAATTATGGGAAAATTCTTTTTCTAGAGGAGGGATTTAAGGAGCGCACATGCGCTCCCAGGACCTGCACTGCCTGACGCACCCCATGAGCCTCTTCTCACATGCCTTGCAACCCTCCTGCTGTTGGTTCCTGAAACGCCAGTGCTCTGAGCTTTCTACAGCTTAAAACAGACACTAGTTGGATAAGACATGGGTGCTGTGGAAAATCAGCCAGGGAGTGGATGCGGGCTGCCCAGAAAATGTCCTCCACCAAATGAAACGATATCCAGACCCAGCTGGGAATTCCATTGCTGCTGTGGGTTTGGAGACTGTTTATTTTTATTTCTTGGCTCAAAGCTTTCATTCCTGTCCTTGTCTCTTTTTGTCTTCTCTGTCTCTCCCTCTCTCCTTGCAGCCACTGCTCTGTGCTGTATATACACATGGCCCAGCATTTAATACCACGACCTAAAAATACCTCTCAGTAGATGCTAACTCTGTTGCAGTGGCAGGATGTAAACTTGATACCAAAGGCACATGTCCTATCACGGCCAGTCTTTGATTCCTTTAGCCTGTGTTGTAAAGACCCAGAAAAAAAAATAACCACAATTCAGAAGGGGAAAAAGAAACCAAACCTAATACAAAGAGAGACACTCTTTCAAGTGGCACTTGCAAGCCCAGTGTTGTGCTGGCCTAATTGTCTGCACGTGTTTGGTTGCACTACCTCACAAATGGCTTCCAGCCCACCTGAAGGCAGCAGAAGGGTCACTGTGGAGCCTCAGAGTTCTGAGTGCTGATCTTTTCTTTAGGGCTCAGTTAAGACAGAGAGACGCCAAAGGGCAGAAGTGCTAGATCCATTTCCTTCCAGACTTTCTGCAGTAACTTTTCACTACACTTGTATTCTAATCCTCACATGCTTGTGTTTTCCTTATGTTCCTCTTTCCCACCTATGCGCACAGCAAAGCTTTCTCTGGAAGATCTATCTTCTATCCCCCAAAGTCTGAGGAAACTTTTAAGTATTCATGTGCTTAGTGCCACACTCCGGAGCTACTTCATCCCTTTGGAGTCCACTTTGAGAATATACTTCTGCACCGACATATCTTAAGTGCATGTAAGCAGACCTCCCCGCCAGCCAGCCATTGCCATTGTAATAACAAGCACTGTCAGCAGGAGCCTCAAATGGGAAGCATCACTTGACTCTAGAAACCCTTTCCAGAAGGTGACACAGTTGCCAAAGTATATTTACTAGGGCTGACTCTAGGATGGATTCTTCTTCCCATAGAAGATCTTGACAAATACTATAGCAACTCAGAAGCAACTCTGCCAAAAGAAGGTATGATATTATTTCTAATTATAAACAGCCTTAAAAGTCACGAAGACAATTACTGGTGATCAACCAGCAACATCCTCAACATCCTGACCAAGTCATGAGCCTAACCATGTTTCACTTGTCTCACGATTGGGAGCGCTTGTCTTATAAAGGCAGGCAGTTCCCTTCATGGTGAGAACTCCATAGCACTGGTCTACCAGAAGTTCAAGTGAAGTCCTCTCTACACTGTGCTCTAACCCTACTCCCTTTAGATCACTGCTGATCAATCTGTTCTCCCTTTCTGATGGCAGCTGGACCAAAGCTATTATGCATCACCTATATCTTCTCATTTAAGGAGTAGTAGTTCTAAGCTGTTTCCACCAACTGTTCCTCATCTGATGACTCCTTCCAGACCATCCATGATCAGGTAGACTGAAGCCAACCTTCAAGGGCCATCCCTCCTTTCACTGTGAACACCATGCCTCAGTTAGTGTAGGCCATGGGCACACTAATAAATCAAGCCTACCATGCTTTCTTTCCCACCCTAATTTACTTGAGTCATAACATAAAAATAATAGTAAAAATGATCCTTATCAACCAGCCACATCTTTCTTCCTTAGTGTTGAGCCTTTTGTGACCTCTAAATGCTCAGAAAATCACCCCTGTCCTAAAGAACAGCCTCCTTTTCCAGGCTGCCCTCTTGTCCCAGCTTGCTGTCACCGCTGCTGAGAGAGCAGACGATTGATCTGAGAAATCAAGTTGGATTGCTGTCCCAAATCTACACTCGGGTCTCCTTGTGTCTGTCTGATCGATTTCACTCTGTGCGACATAGCTTGTCGCTACGAATTTTCATGCTAGTCAGGAGCCGCCAGCGCACCCAAGAACAGTGGAAGATGCCCTGCACCCCTCCCTATCCCTCCGATACACCCAGCTTCTGCGTCAAATTTTTTTTCCAATCATCTATTGCCAGATTGGAAAAAAGGTTTGTTTCTTTCTTTTTCCCAAGGCCGCAGGCGTGGATGTAACAGATTTGGCCACTGGCTTCGCTCCCCAGGTTCGCCAGCCCCAGCTTGTGGTGGTATTTCCTACCACTGTTGTACTAGGTGTCACCTGTTTAGCAGCTCCTCTCGGCTGCGTGTGTGTGGCCGCAGGTGCCATGCAAACACTGATGGGGCCTGACAGCCCTCGACGCCAGCTGCCTGCATGCAGCCTGCCCAGTCGCCACTTTTTCTGTGGGTAGGATGCTGCCCATGGCATGACCGATACAGAAACAAGAAACTAGGTGACCGGAAAGCTACGACAAGTCCTACTAAGTGGCATTCTGGGCCCTATGGCTTTGAAATAATTGGGAATGATAGAAGAAAAACAAAGGGCGGGGGGGGGGGTCTTGTTGTCTTACACTGATGCCCTGCGGACTGTACATCTGACTGGCTGCGAGTCCGTCACTGTATCCTCCTGTCTGGCTGATAACATGGCGAAGGGTATCCACCTAAACAGGGAACAACAACAGAGAGGAAATTAGTTCGAGAGATGTCAGGGGAGGGAGGCGCATCACTGTCTCACAGGCTACCATTTGGGCAGGCCAGATTTATGCGATCATTCGGGGACATTCTTCTTGAGGAAGAAGTGTCCACGAGGAAGAGGAGGGGCCTCTCACTAATGCCCATTTCATCATCAGTTCTGAGTTCAACAAGAAGTAAAATGATAGAGGCAAACTGGAGTCTCCAGCCTAGAAACTAATTCCACCGTGCTGCATGACCTGGGGACAGGGAGGGTGTGCAGGGGAAAGAGAATAAAGACATTCCTCCTTCTCTGTTTTTCTTCAACATGGATCACCCTAGACAGCTTCTCCTTTGCTGCACATACGACAACAGTTCATTTTCTATATAAAGGAGGTTTGAGCAGCCATCCCTCAGAGAGCAAGAATTTGACTAAGACCATGGTGATTTGAGGAATTCAGACGGCCAACTGTTTGGTCACTCAACCTGTCTCCAGGGTGTGCTTCCTGGGCAAAAGTCTGAAGCCCTGGCCTGCTGGTCTCTCCCAAGCACAGAGTGCTTCCAATTTCCTGCGCAGGGTGGGAAACCGGATGGACACAGCTTGGAACTTCCTGTAACTCTTACCCAGAGCATGCAACACTGTGCTCATCACACTTCACCTCAGGATGCCTTCCTGAGGTGTCACAGAGGCAGCCAGGTGAAAAAGAAGCCCTGAGCTTTCAAGCCTGACTCAATTTTTACTTCTAGAACTGGACTCATTGCCAGAAACTCAAATCCACTAACCTCAAGGACAACTAGGAAGATGACTTTAGTTAGCCTGGTTTGAAAGCCTACAATAAAACATGGGTTGCTAACATATTTGCCTACTATTTATTTCCTTATTTTGGCAAATATTGAATATGGAAAACCAACCACTGAGAAGGAGCCCTGAAGATGCAGTCAGTGAACAGAACTCCTTCTCTCTTTCCTTTTGGTGAATAAAGAAAAAGCTGCTGGTTCCACGTGCCCCAGATGCCTTTGTCCCTTCACTCTACACCTGCTGTCCTCTCTCTCTCGGTTTCCTGGGGTGAGCAACAAGCCAGAGCCAAATGCATTCACAAAGGGTGGACAAGATTCCCTCAAACAATGGTTGTCTTTGTTTCTGTTTGGTGTCCCTCTTTCTTTTTCCTTCTCTCACTCTCTGGGTAGAAGCAGGAAGCCAAGATGACTGAGGGCACTTGGACTCTAGTGCATCCGCTTGGCAGCATATTGGCTGGGTCCCTACCTGTGATTGCACGTTCGCTCCAACCTGGGCCCCTTGGTAAGAATCCCCATTGAGTGACTGCACGCTCATGAACAAATCTCCAGAGTTTGACATGTTAAAAGAACTGGAAGAACCTGGAAAGGAAAGAGTGAGGCACCTGAATCACAGAAAGGAAAAGGCTCAACCCCCGCAACTAACAGCCAAGAGGAAGAATGACATGCAAAGCAACCCCCAAATAAAAACTAAAATAACAATAACATCAACAGAGTCTGGTTAGTAGCATGAAGAACAGAGCAAGCAATAAAGGGTGCATATTGTTGGTGTTATATGAAGCCACACCTTACTCTAAATTGTCAATGGGGACTGCTTCTGCTTAGCAACTTCAAGTTGAGAAAGTGAACATTTATTCTTCTCAACTTAGTCCATTGTAGATCTCTCTTTCACATCCCTGAAATACTAGGATTGGCCAGGGGACCACACAGTCAAGTACATGGGCTTATTAGCAGTTCTCCTGCCATTGCAATGGAGCATACTAGCTACTTAACTGGATTCTAAATATGCTATTATGAAACCCATCTACTCATACAGGGAACAACATTGGGGAGGACAGGATGCAGAAGCAATACCATACACTAGGGCTGGCCCTGGCACATCCTGACAGTCCTGATTTCTGCAAAGAAGGTCAAGTTCCTTGCTGGATAGCAAAAGCCCAGGGAGCCACGAGAATTGCAAGAATACACAGGAATGAGCTACTCTTCTCTGCTGTCTGTCAGTATGGAGGACAAAACTGAAAAATGGGACAGGAATTCTCAAGCATGCATGAAATGTGAGATCCTGCTTATAATAATGATAATAATTTCTAGTGTGGGCCTCCCGAAGGGCAGTAAGCCATGGTTTCCACATTCTACGGCTAGAGCTCCATCCAGAGTCAGCCCTTTAGATCCATCTTGGAGCTACCCAGGATCCACTGGCTCCATTGTGGTGAAGCTCTCCCCAATCTCAACCTAAACCCAAGGGCGAGCAAAAGCATCGTGCAGCTCAGCGCATTAGGAAAGAAAGCTCAACGTGCAAGGTTTGGTTAAAACATGACGTTAGCCTGGAAAAGAAGAGACCTCAGGGACCCAGGTCAGTTGCATTCTGTATTTCAAACCCTACATTGCTGAAGTGGTGCTCTTGCCCTGTTGTTCAGAGACAGCCATCATCAGGGTGGAATCGCCCACCCATGAGTCATGCCTCAGCTCTGACACTTGCTTGGTTTGCCCCAAGGTGAGGCTCTGCGTTCTCTCTTAGAGAACTTCCCTGCTTCCTGTAGAGAGCTGCGGCTAGATGGGAGAAGCTTATTCCCTACAGGACCACTTAACAAGTGAGAGATTCTAAATCTACCCTCAGTGCTTAGCATCAGGCTTAAAAGGCAAGAGCCAAATAGAAGAACAAAATGACTTATGAATGTTGGGACAACCACAAGTTAAAAATGTCTGTAATTTTCTTTTTTGTGTGTGCGGTTTTCACCTCCACATAAGGCACTAACTATTTTACTGTATAAAACTGTCCCTCCATCTACCTCATATCCTACACCTGCTTTCCAAGAGAAAAGGCATTAAGGCAGTGCTTTCTTCGGGGACCCTGGAGGACCACTCAAGCATCAACCAAAGGACAGTGACATTTTCATAGCTCTGCAAAAGATACTGCCTCATCTGGCATACAGTTTTTTTTTCTCCTCAGTTTATCTAAGTGGAATTAGAAGAGTTGAATCTTAGCAAAGTAGGCATAACAGTTGTCCAGGTGTGGCTTATACTCAGTAAGTGAGATGAAGGCTTTGACCTCGACCTTGCCTTCATTAATATGGTACACATCTTTGAAGGTATCTCCCCAATCTACGGATGAGGCAAGAGGTAGCACGGGTCCCATTCTCATATGAATATAACACCTAGAGCTCTATGTACTAGTTATATCTGCTTCAAATCTGTTTTGTAATCACAGAGATAAAGCCTAAATAATAAAAGCCATTGCAGTCAGTGTCACAATACATGCTTGCACTTTGATGTCAATAGAAGCAAGATCCCAGGTTATAATTGTTTTTGTGTCATCAGACTTCTCCTTCCACGTCCCTATGAATACTGAGTTTGAAGCCCAGGTATTTTATTTCCTTCCCACACAAATACCAAGTAATGAACACACACATTGTATGCTTTGCTGTTAGTTTATTGCAAATCAACACGCCAGCTGAGAGATGGGAAGAACCCCCAAAGGGCTACACAAGGCCAAGCAACATGGCATCCGTGGAACCATGAAGGCATGGAATGTGCCATTTACAAGATGTACACTGCAATTGACACAGATGATTTAAAAATATATGTGCATAGATAAATTGTAAATATGTCTGGCTGCTTAATGTACACAGAGATAAATATGCGCATATAAATGTACTTCACGTACAAATGCATTTGTATCAGAGAAGTAATTGCCGAAATAGTCGCCTGTGCTCTTGGCTGTGCTGTTTTAGCATTTCACTGTATCTGTACACCCATGTACAACACTACATGGCTTCTGCCTCTCTGATGAGTATCTAGAGGCGGTGACTATATTGATGGAAGAGAGCAGGTGCCCTTAGATGACAATAAGGCAAGGAGAAGATGACACAAAAGTCTAAACAAGGCAGGACAGCCACACTCTCCAGCCAGCACTGGAAGTTGGAAAGAACTTATCATGGGGCAGACAGGATCCTGGGAGCACAAGGCTTAGACAAAAATGAATGGGCTCTCTTCAAGGTGCTGTGAATCCTCCAGCAATGACACAATTATCTAGCTTGCTGGCTGGGAACCTCGTCTGCAGATTGCTGTGGAGTACTCAGCAATCGCTAGAATTATAGTTCAAGATATGCTTGAAAGTTTAACAGATCTAAATTTGGTGTAAGGATGGAGACAAGTTCCTTATTTAAACTGCTGCAGAGACCTCAAGGACATGTACAGAGACACATCTACAGTCAACTAGCCAGAGAAGAAAGAAAGGATCACCCGGGATTCTAACGCATTTGCTTGGGCAGTATCACAGAATGGAAATGTGATAACATTCATGTTCATTAATCCAGTTTTCCAAAGATTGCATTCCTACTTTAAAGGATCCTTAGAAAGCTTAATTATTTTTTAGAAAAAAATGAACAAAACAAACCAAAAAGAAAAAAAAAATCCCAAATCTCAATTAACCTCATAACCTTCTACCCAAAGTAGAATAATAATACATGAACCTAAAGAGCTAACAGTAAAGCCCATGGCAGGGCTTCTCAACCTTGGTGCTAATGACATTTAGATCAGGTAATTCTTCAATGTCAGGAGTATCTTATATGCTGTACACTATATGATGTTTAGCAATATGCCTGGTTTTTTTTCCATTAATGCCCTCCTTCCAAAATTGTGACAACTAAAAGAGTGTGCAGGTAGTATTCAATGTCTCTGAGTGCAAATTTGCTCCCAGATGAGAATCAGTGGATGTACTTTTCCCTCTTGAGAACCTCAAAGTACTTTCAAGTATTGGCTCATTCTTTCTCTCTGAGTATACAATTCTTATAAAGTAGCAGTATGGCAAATAATCGCCTTAAGTTCTCCAGAGAGATGATGCCAGTGGCAGGATGAGAAGGAGCTCTCACCCCATTTGGAGGCACAAAAGATGGACTGTCTTCACCTGATGCAGACTTCCTTATGTCTCATGCTTGCTTCCAAGAAAGGGGCCTCATTTTCCTGAGGTTGCTAGTCATGTTTTCGTATCTCATCAAAAATAGATTGAAGACGCATCACTCCAGGTCTCCACCACCCTAGGTTTCTTCTGAAGAAGTATGAACTTATATTTTTATGGCTGCTTCAATTGACCTCCATTTTTGTCTTCTTTGTTCAGAAATTCCCTTCCTATGATTCATGCTTTCCCCCCCATCTGTCTTGCACAATTCTGCTATAAAGCAGCCATACCACTTCTAAAAGCTTTCAAATCCCCCACAGGTGCTAGTCCTACATGGCCTTTATGAAGTGCGCTTAAAGAAAAGGAGACAAGGTAAATTTCAACAAATGGGGATACTTAGAAGTGGCCTAAGGAAATGTTCTGCTAACCCCAAAAGAAATGTCTGGAGGGAATACTTCCCTTGCAGTAGAAATGGGCATTTATACTTAGGAATGTTTCTAGAAGAAATGTCCTGCTTCAATGAGGAGAGCATAGAAAGTTCCTTGGAATTGGGAGTGGTGTGTACACCTGTAATCTCAGCACTCTGGGAAGCCAAGGCATTAGGATCTCAAGTTCAAGCCCAGCTTGGGAATTTAGACTTAGTGAGAGATGCTGTCTTGCAATAAAATTTAAAAAGGGCTGAAGATGAAGCTCAGTGTCCCAAGTTCAATTTCTAGTATTCAAAAATGATAACATAAAGTAATATTTCTCAATTACAGAACTCTAAACTTCAAATTCTATCAAAACATATTTTCACACATTAGCCTCTTATTTAAAATTTGTGCCATGAATGGTGGTTCATGTCTAGAATCCCAGACCTTGGGAAGTTGAGGCAGAAGGATGCCTTGTGAGTTTGCAACCAGCCTGGTCTACATAGTGAGTCTAAGATCCTGAAATCTTGAAATCTACAGCAAGACCCTGATCCCAAAACAAAAGCAAAACCAAAAACAAAAAGAACACAACTAAATAAAGGTATGTTATTTTAAATTATAATTTCTATTTTCAAAGGACTAAAAGCCAATTAGCATAATATGTGCCCTACATAAAAACTCAAAACATTTTTCACTTTATCTGTGCACTGATTTGGGGGAAGAGTAGAATAAAATGCAGAAAAGTCCACTTATAACTTTTCCTGGGAGGATATTTCCTTTAAGTATCATCTTACCAATGTGTCAGACACGGTCTGACTGTGGCCTTGTCCACAGAGCCCAGTCCACGCGTCATGTGAGTGCACACGTACAGTGGTGTTCTTTGGTCTCTCCTTTAGAATGAAGACTACAGAGTGTTGCTCTGATGACTATTACCAACCCCTTGAACACTAATGGAGGGTTTAGCTCATTTTCTCTGTTATAATTTACTTTAGCTGAGAATAGTCAAGTGAAGTTTGAGGCACAAGAAAAATCCTTTAGAAAATTAGCCACAGATTGGCATTCTGTAAGAGCCCACATAATTTTAAACAGGGCTTTAAATGCTTACTTTTCTCTTTTTAAGGGCTTTAGGAAAGAATAAATAGTTAGGGATGTAGTCAAGAAGGGAGTCCACAGGGCCCTTCTAGGGACTAGCCATAAATCATGCTAAGCCATCTGTGATGCAGATATATCAGGGACAGGAAAAAAGTCATTTTGATATCTTTTTTGCATTGTGATAACCTTTGCAGGAGTGGTGAGTGCATTTTTTGCTAATGTTGACAGAATTGTACTTCTTCCAAAGAAAATGTCTGCCTAGCAGTGCAGATCAACTTGTTTGTTGAGTCTGAAATGCTTACTAATTGACCAGGTAGAGAAGAAGGAAACTTGCTGGCTATTGAACCAGTTAGACTAGATCCTTTGTGGATCACACTAGGATGGGGCAAGAAGAGAACAAAATAAAAGCTGGAAAAATAAATATGCTCCTTATAGCACCTCAAGCTGCAGAGCTGGGAAAAGCACACCTGGGCTGAGAGCTACAGTATCTAAGCATGGCCACATTCACTAAGCCCAGTCCACTGGTCATGCCTGATCCCAATTACACAAAAAGAGATGAGGACTGTACGGCCTGACAGCTTGGCAAACAAATCATCTAAGAGCTAAATGCATCTAAGAACTCACAGAAGATATTACTGTGGCGTCCTGTGTGTTTCCAATAATAAGACATCTTATGGTAGAAAGAAGACTTGTTTTAGTGGGTAAACAGGTTTTGGGTCAAAGATATCAGGTACACTAAGAAATGCTGGAAATTAGACTTGCAATCATATTATAATTACATATATTTAAATTTCTTGTTAATATTTTGTTGATGTTTTTATGTGCACTCAACAACCAAAATCAGCACAACTTGTTCAATCTGATACTAAAATTTGTTTCATAAGAAAATTGTTGTTTTTGCCTTATCAACAATAAAAGTATATCATTCCTTCCAGAGCATACAAATACTCAAGTTATATTTTATGCATGAGTGATTTTTTTTCCACTGGTAATTCAGATCTGATGGCCCAAGGCATACCCAAAACTATATTATGTCCTGACTAACCTCTGGAATTAGTGATGCAATGCATAGTCACCAAAATAAAAATAAAACCTACAATGTAGCACATAACTGATACTATGACATGAAAACAGGAACCTGAATAATTTGAATTAATGACTGGCAATTTTCTATGTAGGTTACAGAAGGAAAACCAATAAAATAAAAAATAACCACTCTAAATAATATCTTGAAATAATTGCAGCCTGGCTTTGCAGAGCAGAATTTGCTAATGATATTGCTAGAATGAATATTCCTACACTGAATGCATGCTAACACAGTCTGTGGCAAGAACAGCAAATTAGACAAGCATAAAGACCCCTGAAAAAGACCAAGTGATTGAACTCCAAGGAACTATCTCAATCTTTTAAAACTTTTTAAAAATTATTTATTTATATATTTGATACAGGGTCTCACTACACAATTCAAACTCATACTAATCCTCCTGTGTCTACCTTCCCAGTGCTGAGATTGCAGGTGTGTGTCACCATTCCTCATTCTGGGGCTGGCACAGCATGAAGTACTGGAAATCAAACCTGGGGACTTATGCTTGCCAGGCAGGTGCTTAGACAACTGAGCTATCTCTCCAGCCCCATATCTCAATCTTAAATTTAACTTACTTATTGGAATCTCTGAATCTAGAAGTGCATCAAGACCAAACACTATACCACTGCCTCAAGGTAAGCAGACACATCAGTGCAAACAAATTCCTAGACAACACCAGCCTGTAACAGTGTAACAATTTTTTGATATTAAAGGAAAAACCAAAAGTGGTACACAAAGGATAATTAGATACATAAATCAACTAATCAAAAATCTACAAAATTAAAATAAAACCCAAACCCACTGCAAGAAATGCAAGTACCAAAATGGAGAACAATCCCCCCAAATCAAAGAAAAAACTAACCAGCTGAGTTGGGAGTGGAGGGTGAGTTAGCTTGGCTTCCATGGGCTGACACATTGGTAGCAGTGACAGCCGTTTTGGCAGCATAAATATTGGCTTCCTCTTGAAATTTACCTATGTTCTTCTTGTACCGGATTCGCTTATTTCCAAACCAGTTTGATACCTACAGCAGTTTAAAAGAAAGTAAGAAACTTAACATTTCATTTTGTACAAATATTGCAGAAAGTTAAAAAAAAAAAAAAAAAGGCTTTCAGTAGGGATGAAGAGGTTTTGCAACATGAATTAAAGAGCAGAGGTAAGCGCTTCAAACAGAATGACATAAACTGAGATTCTCTTGTTTAACTAAAAGTTAGCAAAACCACTGTGATAAAAATTTTTTCCTACAGATCTGCTCATTAAAAGCAGGACTCTTTTAACTTAGAGCAAGCATTTTAAATTTGCTTACCATTTAATTTATGACACTAAAATAAACATACCAGGAGGAATGCCTGTTTCTTATCAATGCTAAAGCTGACTTAGCACAATTAAAATACACAGACCTTTAAATATCCATATAAATCTATATTAACATATGGGTGCCTTCGTGCATACATTAATTTCAATATTTTAGAAGTTTAAATAACTTTAACATGGACTCAGATTCTTAGCTGTAGAGGGTTACAGACTTCAAGATCAACATAATTCCACGTGATACATTTCACCCTGTAAGTATGTCATGCGTGCACATGAGGAAAAGCTGCAACACACACTGATTATTCCTCTGGATTCCAGGCTTTAAATGTTAGAGCCAATATACACAATAAACCTAATTTACTTTCATTTGCTAATTTATTCCCTTCATGTGGCTCACAGCAGCTGTCCTGGTTTGATTTGGGGCCTCTTTCCTTTTATATAAAGACCTCTGCCAGAAACAAGAGGAGACAGTCGAATTCAAGTTGACCCTCATAATTCCTGCCTTGGGTAGGAAAATTTTCTACCCCATATTCCAGATGTGATTTTTGAACTAAAATGTTACGTTTTGTGTGTAATTACAAATAAAACATGAATTCAGTGAAGGAAAAATGAATTGAATACACATGTACCATGGCATGTACACAATTTATATTCACCTTTCCTCCATCAAATGGCAGATAAAAAAAATTCTTGCAAAACTACTTTGCAAAAAAATGCACTGAAAAGCTAAAATACCTTATAAAGCCAGCCCTCACAGTCTGTGTAATATAGGTGATAGCAAAAATGCTAGGCCTTTGTTATAAAAATCAAACTTTATCATGGAGATATTAGTAAATAAGAGAAAAAATTCAATAACAAATTTTTTTATTTATGTAGATCCAGAAAAATAAAGTTAAACTGAAGGAGTTTATTTCAGGATCATTGTATATCTAATTTCACTTTGAAATTCATGCTTTTTTCTTGATAATATCTTTACTATTCAAATCAGTCTATCACGGTTATCATGGCTTTTTGATTTGTAAGTGGAATAGAGAGACAGGAAAATAAGAAGGGAACTTTTCAGAGTTGGCTGGAAAAAAAAGCTGAGGGTACTTTAGGAGGACTTTCAAAGGAGAAAATAAATGCTTGAAGTTTAGTTATATCTCCTATATTTGGGAAAAAGATGAAAGGGTATGGTGTGTGTGGGTGACCTGTTTGTAGGTCACATGCTATGAGAATTAGTCGCTTTTAAATAAAAGTACAAGTTGTTGGGCAGGTGCTATGTGTGTTTAGGCATTTCAGTTTTCTTTTCTCTCTCTCTCTCTCTCTCTCTCTCTCTCTCTCTCTCTCTCTCTCTCTCTCCCTCTCTCTTTCTTTTTTTTTTTGGTACCAGAGATTGAACTCAGGACCCTGTGCTTGCCAGGCAAGCACTTATTCTATTCAGCTATCTCCTCGGCACTGTTTAGGCATTTTTTACATTGTCCACTATACTATAATGCATTTGCATTAATTGGCTAATTGTTCAACTGTCACAGACTAAAAGCCTAATAGATGTTGAGCCCTAGCGATGTACACAAGACACGGTATGAGTCAGAAAGAGTAACAGGTTGCACAGGGAGAGTGTGATTCCCATCATTAACTTGATAAGGTCCATGAGTCTACAGTAGAGCCACTGCGAAGTGTAGTCAGAGACAGGATATGAGTCTGTTGTTCTACAAAAGTCCCATCCGGATAGTCAAGTGGAGGGCTGGACACCTATAGCTATTTGTGAGTAAGCCAATGTTTGTACGTCAAGTGCTCATATACAGCTTGCGAGAAATGATTTTGTGGTGAGTCCACAGAGCTTACATTTTTTTCTCACATACTCGCAAGCATAGCTGGTGGACCATCCTCTGAGGAGCTCTGCTGTGGAAGAACAACGCTTTAAAAGTGTAGGGAGAATGCAGTTATTAGATGCATTTTACATGGATTGGTGTAAGAGCATATTTTTGTTCTGGATCATGAAGAAGTCAGTAGCTTTCAGTGGGTTGCAAAACAATGAATGGCCACCAAAGAACATCACAGCACCATTGGCTAGGTTATGTAGAGATGAAAACTAAAGGAAGAACAAAACAGTTGGAGACTAGGTAAGAGGACAGGACAAGAGTTGCCTGAGAGAAGAGGAAAGAGCTTAGAAGAAACTGTACCTAGGAAATAAAGGTAGGAATGTTTTCAGAAATAGAGTGGTTATTTAAAAAAGACTAGAAAGATAGTAGTAAGCTATCCCCTGCCTAGATGTGGAAACTAGGGAATGTATTTAATTTTCCTTTTCCTTTTTTTTTTTTTTTTGTATTTCAGGGAAGGGTCTACAGGGTGTTCAGGGTCTCATTACTAGATTGGACTCGGAGTGATCTGCCTGTTTACAGCCTCCTAAGAGCTGGGATTATAGGCAAATGCCACCACCCCCAGTCTCAATTGTCATCTCATTGTACCCTGGGGGTGGGGCCGGGGATTGAACCCCTAGTTCCTGTGCCTGTTTGCAGGTGCTTTAATCTGCTGAGCTATTTGGCTGGCCCTGGAGCATATTTAATGTCTGATACAGCCAGCTATAATTAGTAGATGGGAAAATGAATATCCTACAAATCATGAAAAATATGCTCATATACTCAAGTCCTTGTGAAATGAATCTAATAACTATATCCTCCCTAGAATTATATAGTTGACCCTTCTCAAAAATGTGTGTCTAACACAATGTTGGGTCTATCAATCATACTGTATGGTGCCCCTTGAGGACTTGTTTAGCAATGGGGAACCAAATTGCTGCTCTTGGGATATGGAGGATGAGCAGATGGGGAAGGAAGATGCAGGCCTTGGGGTGGGTGGAGGAAAGAGAAAGCAGTATAGTATGTAAGTAATCACTGCGTCAAGTGAAATACGTGCATTTGAGTTTCTGCAACAAAAATTAAGTCAAAGGTTGTTGGAGTAGAACAGAGTTCTACCTTTTTCTTGTTAAGTACTGGGTATTGAACCCAGGACTTCGTTACTAAGCCTTTCTAAAATATTTTTATTTTGAGTCAGAGGTTCACAAAAATTTTAATTCAGCAGTGATATAGCTTAGCTCCAGAGGGCTCATCTTTACTTCTAGAGAGATTTGAAATCCTGAACCCCAGACTCTGCATTCAGACAGTAGACTGATTTAATTCTACTTTAAAAGCAGAAGATTCCAGGTTGCAGCTCAGGCTGAGATGATTTGCCTAGTGCGGGCAGTGCTGGGGGTTCAGTCCTCAGCACCAGGGAAGAAAAACCAAATGAACAGTGAAGTTTATATAACTAGACTGCACTAATGCGTAAGCCAGTGATGTGACCAACACCTTGAGCTATTCTTCAAATATGTAGAAAAATCATAAAAAATTCGTTACTGTTTTTCTTTCTTTCTCTCTCTCTCTCTCTCTCTCTCTCTCTCTCTCTCTCTCTCTCTCTCTCTCTCTCTTGCAAAGAAGGGGTCTAAATTCAGACAAGAATGGTCACTGCCCAAGGGGTAAAAACACTAGGCTACTTGAGTTTGATCACTGATTTCTGTTTTCCTGAAACTATCAAGTTTGGAAATGACCTTCAGTAAGGTTAAAATGCCTGAGGAGGACAGCCTGGGTTAAAAAGGAGTCTATTCATTCTGTCTTCTCCAGAAAAATTTTTACAAGAACTTTTGTTGCTGCTAACTCACCCACAGCTGGTTGGTGAAGTTTAAATGATTGTTTCTTTGCAAATACCTTTGTTGACACAGCTCTCTATTTTGACTGGACCTAATTCTGCTTAGTTAAGCACTGGTTGCTAGATCTCCCTACTAGGAGTAACAGAGCCAGGATTTAGTTCATGGATGTACAGATGCTTGGTTTATATAGAACAGTATCCACCTGACTTGAAAAAATATATAGTGAGGTTTCTCCTCAGACTGGACTTTCCCACTAGTGGAAATTCCAGTATACTTAGTTCTTTTGCAAGTGATGTAATTCTGAGGGAAACTTTTCAACATATTTCAGGATTCTCACTAAATGTCTCAATGAGAGACCAGGATTGTAAGAAGTTTGAATGAACCCTTGGAGTAAAAAAAAAATGCAGATGTTTTTAACTATTGCCTACTCATCTACTTCATATTAATGTTGAAGATTCCAGGTCTATGCAAATTTCGTATCATGTACGTTTTGTTTTCAACTCAGTAGATATCAGCAACAGACAAAGCATTCTGGTGGAAGGAGGCCCACGGTGGCACCTTGTGCATCTATTTCAATGCAATAATGATGACATGTTGAAAATTCCTTCATTGTATTAGAGTCTAAACACATCGAGAGATATCATTTAATTTCCTTTCCTTTAAGGCCATAGAATGGCTAGTTTCTTTTTTAGTCACTTTTAAAGTCAGTGAGTAAAAAGTGGGATAAGTAAGGAATTGATTAAATTTCAGAAAACAATATAAGAAATACAGATGTTTTTCTTAGTACATGAAAGAAACTCCATTCATGCGAAGCAAGGGAGTCCTCAGGGTGAAGAACTTTATTCCTGTTTTTTCCCTGGCTTCTTCCTATTACTCTCTCTCTTTTGATGGATCCTTTCACGTTTTTCAGGAACTTACCTTGAAGTTCTCCTATACATACTCAGTGCTTCCCTCACTACCGCACAGCTTTAGCTAATGGAGTTTACAAGGCGTGGGTATTCAGTTAAGCAAGATCATTAAGAAGACCTATGAGAGCTAGCCTGCAGGCTGGGCATTTTGCGAGGCTCCTTACCTGGGAGACTGTGATGCCGCACTTCTTGGCTAGCTCCTCTTTGGCTTCCTCACTGGGGTAAGGGTTGCTGAGATGGGAATAAAAATACTCATTCAGGATCTCCGTTGCTTGCTTGTTGAAATTCCGTCTCTTCCGCCTCCATAAAGAGAAAGGAAAGGAAACAGCAAAAAAGTTTACACCAAATAAATACAAGGGAGAGAATAGGATTGACTTCTGAGATAAGATACATTTTTGAGCAAAAGATGAATTAGAGATTTGCTGAAAGGGGTCGGATACCAAAACCATGAAAGGCATTAGGACAGCACTGCATTGTGCACTAAAGAGAAGCATGGTGACACATGATACAGGACATTTTAGCTTTGAATCATGGATCAACTTGTTATCAGAAGGGTTACTTGAATTGCCTCCCTAAGTCTCAGCTTATTCAGCTAAAAATGAGGAGTCATACTGAACTCACAGAGTTAGAGGAAGGAAAACCACATATAGAGAATGCTCAGCCCAGTGCCTGATGCATACTGACAGCTAGAACACAGTGGTGATCATTTAAGGCTTAGATACCAAATGACCACACCCCCACACCAAGTTCTCAAGTGTGTGGAAGATGACTGGGTGATGGGGACACCAGGCCATCAGTGGATCCATTGATAGCTCAGTGTATGAATGTGCTACAGGGAGGTGGGGCTTCGGTGGAAGATAGTCATCGGAGGCCTGATGTGGAAGGGGATCTTCTTATCCCTGGGTCCTCTTTTCTTTCTCTACTTCCTTGTTGCCATACTTGAGGATATGCTGAACACAGAGTGAAAACCTGAACCTAAAGAAACCTCTCCTCCTTTAGGTTGTAGGTGTCAGGTATTTTGTCCCTGGGATGGGAAAGTGCCTGAAACGCAGTTCTTCTTATGATGTCATAGCAATCAATTCAAGGCGTTCATTTCCAGGACTAGAGGGGTAGATGTGCTCATCCCTTTTTACAGCTGAGAAACTCCATTCAAAGGTCACTTAGCTGGTATGCTGTTGGAGAGCCAAGATGTTAATTCAGGTCTGCTTGGCTATGAAACCCAATCTCTTCTTCTACACGAATTGGCTGCTGGCACAGAGATTCTGCTGCCGCAAGTTAAAAATAAGTTATCATCTTCTCTCCATTATATCCTCATATAAATGGATGCAACATTTTAAAAAGGTATCTGGGAAGAGGGCAATGAACTGACTGAAATTAGCCCCCTGCCTGCCTGACTTCCTTCAAAAGGGGAAAAGAGGTACTGCTTATGTAGGAACGGCTGCTAATGGTCAAACGAAAGCCCACAGAAATCATTTTCAAATATAGGTTGCCAAAAGGAAGAACACTACTTAAAAAAAAAAAGCTTGTCTGTCTTTTACAAAAAAGTGTTAACTGAACTAATTTCAAATGAGAATCACTTTACTGTATCCTTCCAGCTCAGACCTGTGGATAGCTTGGGCAGCTGCTGGGGGACTCCAAGTTCACGGCAGATCTGGTTGGTTTTCCTTGAAGTCGCAGGGCTTCCATCCTCAAATTATCTCTTTTAGCACTTTTGTCTTTCTTGATTTTATCACATGCATTTTATTATGGAAAAAAGATTTCCAGAACATCTCTGGCTATGCCAGAATGCAGACTTTCCCAATTTACCCGACAGAAAGCACGGATGGCCTTGCTAGACAGGAAATTCAGCTAATATTGTATTTTCAGGGTCCCAGTTGGATTAATTAACACAATAAAGTACCTGATTTTACCGGATGAGCACCATCTGTCCACAGGTATTAACCACATCTGTCCAGATTATGGCAAGCCCAAGTCACTCTCCCAAATCATGCTGAGTTTCTGGGTCATCCAGCATCCGAAATTGGACAGATTGGATTAAAAGGCCCAAGTAAAAAGTAGGCATGTGTTAAAAGTCCTTGCATGATGGGAATTTGAGGAAGATGGCCAATTGGCTGATGCTGGTCTTTACATAACCTTTGGTGGCTGCTTCTTTGCCTAAGGAAGGCAGTTGTTTTAGGTCTGGGGAACTGGACCCCAAAGACTCCCCTAATTGTGAGAGTCTCCATTTGTTCATGTGGTTGTTTGCATTAGCATTACACTGTATTTTTTGGGACTCTTCCAATTGAGCTCAAAGGAAACCTCTCCGGAATGAGCTGGTGGTGTGGGGGTGGCACAGACAGCTGTTCCTGGCCCTGTCTGTGTTGTGATGTTCACTCTTCCCTGGGTGGCCTCGTCCACTCTGATGGACATGTTTACTGCCTCTTGCAGTAGCTGTCTCAACCTATGGTCTCTGGCACCGGAGGATCAGGATACTTTTAGTTTCAGAACATATAGGCCATTTATATCCAAGCTAAATGAGACACCCGACTTCTTGGCATCACTTGAACTGAGTTGATCTTTGTGATTTCAAACCAATCAGACACTGGGATCACTGAGCGTATCAATTTTTAATGTAAGTAGATGTTGACTAAATATTACTAGACCAACAGAACACTTTAGGAATGGAAATCTTCTGGGTCCCAAGGCCACAGGGCACATTTTTCATAAAAGACTTGTAACAGCAAGAAGTACAGGCATTGTAGACTTATACTGCTAACTACCAACAGTGTCACCTCTAATCTGTCTCCCAAAAGCCACTGCCCCATTTAATCACAGCTGACTCCAGGTAGCCGTGAGCAAACTTGTCCCAAAACATCACCTTTCACCCAAATCAGTTCCACGTCCTTCTTACCCTCACTGGTGCATGACACCAGCACACAAACAGTTCATGTGGTTGCCAATTTGTTCATTCAGTCAGTCAGTGAATCACTTGAACATTTGAATTCCTGGGCTGTGTCACAAAACGGGGGCTATTTTCAGCACCTCTGATATTATCCTCACCAGATAATGGACCCCAGAGAAAGCCCTGCCACTCCTGGCCTTTCACACCTCTCTTTTGTCTCCTCCAACTCCTGTTGCCACTAGTTTTGAAATGGGTTTGAATGAGCCAGCTGCTATTCCATGACCCACTGTGGTCCAGAAGCACCTTGTGTGACAAGGGATACTTGTGCTACACATAGAGCAGTCATTAACACATGTGCTCTGTGCACTTGAAATGGGGCTAGTGTATGTGCAGAACAACTTTCCAAGGTATCATGTATTATAATTTGCTATTTTAATTAATTTAATTCTAAAAACAAATAGCTCTGTACTCAACAGTGTGACTTTAGACTGATGTTCTCCAGTAATAGTGCCCAAGCAGCCTCACAAAATATCTACAACGACTCCCTGTTCTTCGCTGCTTTGTGGTACACGAATGCTTACCCACAAGTGGGTAGGTTCTTTTGCACATGTGCATAACACAGAGAAAGTATTTCATACGCAGCTTCTCTTGCTCCACTCTGGGGATTCTGGGCTAAAGCAATAGCTTGCTTCTTTGTTGTTCTTTGTTGATTCAGCTCACATTCCAAGGAATCAATCACTAGAGCCATCTTCCTAAACCATGCATGCATTCATGGGATGACAATGTATAGAATAACAGATAATCTGGTAATCATTATTATCAGAGCTGAACCACACACAGCATGAATTCTATGTGCCAAGCCACTATACCAAGTTTGTTTTTCATAGAATGCTATTTATTTCTGTTTGCAGATTTACCCCTAATATACAGACACAAAAACTGTTTGGGAGAATTAGCCACTTATCATCAGGACTATAGAAAGAATCTGAATCCATAGATAGTGCTTACCTAGCCTTTTTCCACATTCTTTCCTAAGTAGCTCTGAGAGTTTCTCCAGTTCCAAGGTAGAATACAAATGTTCACTGGTGAAGTTCAGCCTTTTCAGTGATACATCCCATTTCCTATATCTATGCTCAGCACAATTTTTTTTTTTCGTTCACATGATATGTTGTGCACTAACCAAAGACCCTGGTGACTGGTATACTCCCCTAGCTCTTGTATCTCTTTCCCACAGCATATGCCCCGAGTTTACATAGGGCTCCCCACTAAATCGTAACCTCCACAGGGCAGGACTCATGTCTCACTTGGATGTGAAACTGGTGTTCTTGATCCATAGTAAGCACGCAGGTAGGCCGTGCTCATCCAACTTTAGTTACGGTGTTCTCCTCTGCTTGCTACCCCTTTTCTTTGGCAAATGTCATGCTCTTCTGCACTGCAGGATAGTCTGGCCTCTCCTCGGACCTGCTTTGCTTCAGATGGATTTTCTGGTGGGTGTACTGAAGAGTATAGCAGCCACTTTGCTGTTTATTTGTAAGATGCTCTGTCTGTCCCATGAGATGAACGCTGTGAAGGCTGGACCTGTACTTACATTTATTTTTGTCAACTCTGTCATTCTTAGTGGTTAATAGAGCATCTGGCCATTACTGTGGGCTCAAGTTGATTTATAAATAAGTCTAGATTCAGTGTAATTTGATTAGAGCTTGCTGGATTCCATTTTTTCTTGCCATTATCTCCTTCAATAATTCATTTCATCTAATCTCTATCTGCATAAAGTGCACAAGTGTATTTCCAATCACCTGCTTATATTATTATTGCCATTTCTAACAAAATGCTACAGAAAGTCATTAAAACTTTTGCTTGAAAATCATTTAGAAGGTTTATAAGTAACCTCCACAGCCTTTAAGCAAAGCTTTTTAGTGCTACCAACAGTCAGTACCAAGTTTGATGGACAGCAGTAAGAGAAGAGCTATAGAATGCACAGGGGAATGAATGAATAGAATTTTTAAGTTGCACTATCCTGGCACCATTAATGTAAGGCAGAGAAAGGACATGACCTGTGTAAGAGACACCTCGGCCAAGTGCTTGGCTAAGAACTGTGCTGTGTGGAAGGCTAATGTCCCAAACCTGGTGTGCGTATCTCCCTTTCTAGTGTCTACAGTGGCAAACACAGTGGCTTATCACTCCCACAATTAGATGACTATTCAGTTCACTCTGAGTAAATAAAAAGGGAGATGTAGTTAAAGCTAAAATTAGAGTCTCCTGTGTTCAGCAAGACAGGAAGCAGTGTGGTTGTGTGGTGCCACAGAGAAGGGTAGGCTCTGGGAACAGGGACTCTCACGCTGACAGTCCTCGGGAACTGCCTTCTCCCTGCCACCAGGGGCTTGGAGGAGAACTCTGAGCTTCAGGAGCCATCCTAGCCTCAGCAGACACCTTGTTCATAACTGTGAGAACACTAGAGCTGAAGCCCTAGCTGAGCCCAGACCCAAAGCCTCGGATCAGCAGACACCTGCAAAGAGTAAACCTGCAAGGTAATCTGCTCCATAACAATAGAAAGCTGAGAGGAGGGCTGTGACTGACAAAGCAGTACTAAGCAATTCTACAAACTTAGTAGATTATAAAGACTAATCTTTTTACTAAATCAAGACTGTTCCTATTGTATTGGTTTTTCTTCTTTTGGATGAGGCCCTACCCTGCCCATCAGTCTCATGCTGTAGGGCAGCGTGCGAATATCATCAGTGGATACTGTATGTCTTCCCCCCCCCCCCACATTTTGCTTGGCTCTCTCTTCCAGTTATAGCTAAGACACAAAGGAAATGATGTGACTTTTCCAATCAGGAAGTCTGGGAAACACTGGTTTGTGAGCTGGGAGAGCCATTTGCTCAGCCTTGGGCTGGCATTTGGCGTGATGCTGTTTTGTGGATAATACATCTAGCCACAGAATAAAATGGTAATAACAATGGCAGTGGGTCAACTGCTTCAGTTTTGGATCTTGGCTCAGGCACAATGACTCAAAGGTTGCAAGCAAAGCAAGAAAGAGACACTGTCTTCCAGAGATTACCCCTCTGGTGCCAAATGAATAATCCAGGCTGCGGCTGGTGGAAATGAGAGGAACAGTGCACAAAGTCTGCCTATGCTGGTGTCTTTTAGAATCTGACCTTTTAGCTGGGCACAGTAGAATTACTGCAAGAAAAAAAATCCAGTGAGACAATGATTCTGCTCCATTTTTCTTACCAATTCCATTCTTGAAAAGAACTTGGTCTGAACCCAAATTTTTCTTTTTCTTGTTTGCTGTCTGCCAACCTAAATACCAACTCCAGCACTTTAACTAAGGGAGCTTCCATGGGGATGTGAGGGATGCATGCACCATGGTGGTGGCTGCAGTGCAAGCAAGGAGTGAGGGTGAGGACCCACACCTGGCCCTGTATGGAATGCTGAGCATTAAAGAAGCCAGGCTCTCAGCAGCTCATGGGGCAAGGAGGATGCACAGAGGGTCCTTCTGCAGGGGACATCACCAGCTCCCCCTCCATCACTATACCCAGCTAAGAAAAACTGTCTGTGTACTTCCTTCTCTTGACTTTATGAAATTCTATTGGCCCAGAGATACATTTGCTCACTGGCCTGCTCATTTCGTATTCCACACATCCCAAAGTACTTCAAATAAAAGGGAGGTTAGGAGAATGCCATGAGCTTTGACAAGGTCCCTGCACTGCAAAGAATCCAATGGTGAAGGAAGAGAAATAAATTGCAGGTAAGAAAACTGAATAATGCATGGCTCAGGGAGGAGAAAATCTAAGAGGAACAGGGAATCTTTCTGTTTGGCTGAAAAAGGACCAAACTATAGAGCATAAGTTGTATACTGATCTTGACAGTGAGTATCCCGTATACAAGTCATAGATTGAGATTATTTGCAGCAAATGAAATAATGAATGATGGTCTGTGCATTCATAAGAGATGACTAATTTGAGATGAACTGTGGATCCCAACCCATATCCATGCTCTGAGATATGTTTGCTGGGCTTGTTATCAAAAAGAGATTTATGGAGGAGATAAAAAATACAATTATCACCTTTTTAAGACTTGGTAACAGAAGCAGACAGAATCTAAAGGACTGCCATCTATCCAAGGGGGCAGGAACTAATGTCTTGTTGCTTGTTCTCAATTCTCCTGCTTTTCAGAAGGACCTTTATATCCATTTTTTCTTCAACAGAATGCTTTGAACTCTTAAGTAAGGTCATGAACTACAATGCCAGACAGAAAATGCTGGCCAATGGAGCCCAGGCCAGAACACCTCCTTGCTCCTCTATGCCCAAGAGACCTTGCCTTACTCCTGTGTGCTGCTAAAACTAAGTGTGGGTATGGAGCATGGTAATCTACTGGCAAGTCCTTCTTGAGCTGAACTGCATGGACTCTCTGCCTTTATATCCTGTGGAAAGAAGCTTAGCTTTCCAGCAAACAGAATAGACCCACTTGGAGAAAGTGTGTCCTTCCCTAGACCCTGCGAAGAAAAAGATAATGAACCAACACATAGTATGAAATGTACTTTTAAGAGAAGCACTTGGGCCTCTGACAACGAAGATCCAGCTTCCTCTGTCACTGTAGCTGTTACCCTTGTTGCTTGCCAAGTTGGTAGCAATGGGGAGAAAACTGCCCCCTGCAATCATGTACTTTCCTGGCAGGATTCTGTCTCAGAGTTTGTCTTTTCCAGACCCAGAACCATGATCTGGTCATCACGTGGCAGCCAATGTGACAAAGCTGGAGCCTTTGGAAAGGGCCAGTGTATGGCCTGCAACCCTAGACAGGTCAAGGATTCTACAGGAGACAGGGCAGCCCTGCCGGGGACTCACCGCGCATCCAGAAACCGGGAGCGCAGGATCATGACGGCCTCGCACGTACTCTGCTTGAGCTGCATCTGGATGGAGCTGAACTTGCGGTGGATGATGCTGACCATCCGCTCGATCTCCTTCGGGGAGATGGGCCTGGTTCGGCTCTGCTCTCGCAGGAGATTCATCACGTGGGTGGTGAACTCGTTGCATGCCTGCAGGGACAGGACCATAACCGTGGGGCTCACTGTGGGTCCAGGGCTTAGCCTGCGTCAGGCCCACGGTGTGAAGCTGGGCGGGCTTTTCTAGAAACTTGTACAAATAAAGAAAACTAGAAGAGTTCACTGGATTTTGCCAATTTACATGGACAGAATAAATGACGGCCTGAAATTTCCTGTTATCCAAATTTTAATCATAATTTCGATTTCTTTCAAGGGAAAAAATGATTTTTTTTCCTAATCTCCACATCCCCTTTTTACTAAAGTGAGAGGAAAGAACAAAACAAATCCTAGGACAAAACATGCTTCACCACCCTTTGCTCCAATGTTAACATCAAAGAGAGCTGGGGTCAGACAGATCTGAGCTTTCTTCCTTCTTCATTATCTATGCTATGGTAGAGGTTCCAAATACTCCATTTGGGGACTCATGAACAGCCAAAAGGGTTTAAGTGGAATCATAGAATTCAAAGCTTGGATAATTCTTCAAGGAGATTTCTAGTTTTATTTAGTTTTCTAGATTTATTTAAAGAACCCCTCCTATAGTGACCTTTTGTTGACCGGGTCTGTCTATAACACAATGGGAAATCTGTCTCCAGAGATCTCATAAAGCTACATCAAAACAAGGCTTAGAAGATCCAAGAGCTATCTTTTTGGAAATGAAAATTCTTAGGGTGTACACCAACATACTACAGTACCAGCTCAGGAACTAAAGTTGGAACTCAAATTTCTTTACCATGTTCTTCTACAGCTGGGGAAAGTGTGGCCCAGGAAGATGAAGAGCCTTCTTCTCTGGCACAGCATACGCAAGAGAAGCAGAAGCAGAGCATGAGTGCCTCATGCTACAGACCAGGGACCCTGGATCCCCTACCTGCTCCTCAGAAAACCACTGCCCTTTCATTTAACTATTATTACTTAGTATCTGTAGTCTGGTTTCTTTCTCTGGACATTCAATAAAATATCTATTCACAGATTAACTTGCAGCAATGCTGTAAAGCTGTATTAGATTTGTAATGAAAAAGGCAAGATGAGGCTCTGAGAATTGAAGAGCTAAGGGCTCAAAGGACTCCAACTTAATATGAGCAGCACAAACATGCTCATTATTGACAATATTGTGTTGTGGTTGTTTTTACAGCGTGGCGTCCCTTCGTTTGTCAATAACACAGTAACAGTAATAGCTGTGCACATTCACTGATTATTTATCTAAGAAATCCTTGGGGGTCAGATGGTCAAAGGTTGGCAGGCAGGCACATCCACTGGGCTGTGTGTGAGCTGGAGAGGAGGTGCCCACCTGGGACCTGCATCCTTGGGCACAGGGAAAATCCTTTCATTATCCCATGGCTCCTCTTTTATTCCTCTGAGTGGGCATAGTCAATTGTGGCCCTTTAGTACAGCTAATGGTAGCTGTGTTCTGGTGCATAAGGGCCTGTGGATGGTGTAAGTGACTCACAGGGACACAGTGGGGACACGGTGTAAGAAGAGCACCTCCAGCACTCATGTGGCAGTGGGATCTCCAAAGTTCCTTAATATCACTTTGCCTATTTTTCATTACTTGTGGAACAAGGAAGACAATTCCCATCTCATAGGATGCAGTAGAGATTAAGTGAGTTTCTATCCATATGCTTGGCCTTACAAATTCACATCATAATCATGGCTTCACATTATAGAGAACTTGGGGAGTAGGTTGGGGAGTAGCGTGGTAGCAAAGCGCTTGGCTGGCATACAGGAGGAGGCTATCAGTTTAGTCCCCTGCACTATTTTTTTTAAAAAAGCATATTGATAAAGATAGACACATACTGTTTTGCTATTGACTCAGAAAAGTGCTGCAGAAACAAAGGATGTGTTTTGGCTCCAGAAATGTATTGAAAGTGAGGGAGGAAAACCCTGGCATCAAGTCAGCTGAGAGCCGGAGGCCACAGGATGGAGTGTGGGGCCACAGCGCAGAGCAAGCGTTCCTGCCATTCTTCCAGTAGAAGGTGATGTCCTGCTGGGCTGTAGCCTCCCTACCTCCATGGGGCTCCGAGGAGGAGTGGCTGGATGCCAGGAGTGGTTGTCAAGAGCGCCAGCTTTCAGCTGGGAAGCCACAGTGCTCGGCTAATAATAATGTGCTTCATTATGGGGAATAAAAATACTCCCCATATCTGATGTTTAGTCAGGGCATTTTGTCCCGGGGCCCTTTCTGCTCTGCAATAAACAGACAGCAGAGTCCTCTCAGCCACTGCTGAGCTGCAGCAAAGCAGCTGCGGAACAGCTGCTCAGGAGCATGCCACAGCAAGTGAAGAGTTCCAAGTCCAGTTAAGACGCATAGAACGCAATGATCCAGATTTCCCAGAATCTGGCCCTCCCGCAGCTCTTCTGCGTTCCCTCATGCTGATCACTGTCAGGAACGCGGCTGCCCCCTTTTACCAGGCATGCACATGGGACAAGAAGGGGAATGTTCAGGGGGGTGGAGGGGAAATCGCCAAACAAACAGAATTCTCCAGGTGCTGATCTGTACTGTAGGCCTTCAGGAGCAGAATGTTCTAAAGCTCAAGCTGACCCCCATACAGCAGCGTGATTCCTAAAAGGGGTGTCCCAGGTTCCAGCACAAGGGTGTTCTGGGGTGCTGCACACTAAAGGGACACCCTTGCATAGTGCCTCACAGGGGCCCAGAGGGTGAGCTTGTGTCCCGCACTCTCTCTCGGTCCTTCTCCTTCAGGCTGTAAACTGGATTTGGCTGCCAATCTCATCAGCAAAAAAAAAAAAGAAGGAACTTAGAGGTTTATTTGCCGTGCACTAACTAAACCCAGCTTGGCTCCACATTAGATATTGAGCTCCTTATACCATCATTTATAAAGGCTGAAGATCCTTGAAAAGCTACAAAAAGTTCATTTTTATAAATAGTCCTTGGCTTCTGACAATGTGGCGTGATCTAGGAAATTATGCTGGCCCTTAGCTACCTCAGCCATCACTGTGACCTGCTGCCAAGGTGTTTTATCCTACCTCATTAAAAAATCCTCCTTTTTAATGAAAGTCTCTGGGAGCTACTTTATTTAATAACTACATGATGAAACAGGGAGGGAGTCAGGTAGTCTGTTCTGGAGTGCTGGGGTGAGGAAGCTTGCCGGCTAATTATTGTGTGGTGAGTGGTCACTTTCACAGCAAAAATAAAACGAAAACAGAGAGAAACAGCAAATTTCACTGGTAAATACTCACTTTCATAATTTCATATAGCTGCTTGGAAAACAAGAGAGTGAAATTTCATCTGACTGAGGTTTTTTACTTTTAAAAACACCCCCATGAGGAACGGTCAAAGAAAAGTGGATATATCTCTCAGACAAACTAGCTAAAAGGTTAATAGTACCATCTTCCTATGATCTGCTATTATAATTAATGACATAACTTGTATTAATAAATTATTAAGCAACCAGAATGTGCTAAACAATATTTACTCCATCACCAGAAAAATGCCCATATAAATCAGGAAACGATGCTTTAGCATAGTCTAAAAATAATAAAGACAAACAACTACTATTACACTTCCATAATTTACTTTGTACTGACAAAAGTTTCCTGTAAATTAAAATTTTAACTTACAATTAATTTTTAACATCTTTACTATTTAGGACAAGTAGGTAGCCATGGAAGTTTCTAAACAGAACATTTTTCTCACTAACCTACTTTGGGTGGCAGCAAAGTAACCCAGAGAGGACAAGCCAGGCCCTTCAGTGTCTACAGATTTCCATACTCTTCTCTTTTTAAAAGCAATCAAGCATTAATTTCCAAAAGGAGCCCCTGGGCTACAGGTCAAAAGCTGTATTTTATGGCAAATATTGCCTCTCATCAGATCATCAGATGTAAGATCTTGAGCTCCATGTTGTCACCTGGATCGAAATGGTGACAGTGAGAGCACCTGTCCTGCGTACTAAACCACAAAGCTGCCTTGAGGAGCGACTACAATTACATTGGCCAAGGTGTTCTGTAATTGGGACATGCTACTACAGTGTATTATTGCTATCAGACTTTTTACTCATTTGAATGAGGACTGAGGAGGGCTGTGGCGCTCTCAGTCAAGCAAACATCAGTTCTTAGGGGCTTGCTGGCATCCTGAGGTCAAAACAAAGCCAGTTTTCAATCCCTTTCAGCCTAACATGCATACTAGTTTTGCAAATTGGAGGATTCACACCCTGAGCTCCTCCTTAGCCATTCTTTTGAGTCATAAGCTAGACTAGGTAGTGTGTCTAGAAGGCTTGTCCTGCCAGAGAACAGGCTTCCTGGTGACTATGAAGCAGGAAGAAACCCAAAGGCCAGCAAAGGAATACTCCTTCATTCCTTCCTAGCACATAGTAGTACTGTATGTCTTTGGAAGCTCTTCAGTCAGGAAGACTGCAAGTTCTAACCTGATGGTCCTGATGGAAGAAATTACAACAGTGTGATAGGCTAAGCTCACACTCTCCTGGGGCCTGCGAGCTAGCTGTGTGGGCCAATGCCAAATCCAAAGCATTTGTTCCTTCCCAAGGAGGTAAAGGAGGATGAATCCTGGGCTCTGACCACAGCTTGCTTCCATTTACTCTCCTTGTACCCTCCCAGCCTTGTCTGCCACTTGAACTCCACCACGATTGGCTTTCCTCACCTAGAAGGGGGACTTGGTGGAAAACTATTTCAAAAGTAGAGAGGAAGGCAATAATGAAACATCCTTCACTTTAAATTTTAAAATGCCTATTTCTATTTTAAAATTTAAATTTGCTATTAAGTGCACACTTGCCTTGTACCTAGATAGTCTGAATTGGACTGTCAAGGAGGGTTTACTACCTTTGGCTTTTTCTCACTTTGCTTTCTTGATTCATAAAAAGGAAGGAAAAGAAAAAATAACAATTTTCTCACAGGAAGTTCATGTAGAACTCCAGGACTGTGTTGGATCTGAAGTGGTGACAGCAAACATCTCTGTTAGGTAAACAGGGATAGGAAAGACTGATGTTGAGGGCATTCTAATGTAGCGGTACTTGCTCTTAGTAACCAGAGAAAAAGTACTGATGCCCAGGTCTGTACATGCGTGGGAACAGGAGGGAGACCCCGCACATATGCAAAGGAGCGCTGTGACATTATCTTGTTCTTATGCACTGCTTTGTAATTTATAGTCTTTTTTATATTTTCCTTTGTTGGCTGTATACAGCCTTGACCCCAGATTCCCAGTTCTTTGACACACATGCTCAGGTCCTGGGTAGAGTACACAGAACCTGTGGGTCCACTGAAATGTCAGTGGAGTGACAATACTAGAGTTCAAGTCTGTTTAGCTGCAGGGATGTCCTGAGATGTTCTACTTCTTTGACAGAGGAAAATATGGAATATATTTTATGTCATATAATATATAAGAAGGAGAACATGTTTGACTCGCAACTGAACTGAGCCTGGGTAGACAGAGGTACATTAAGGTCAAGTTTTCACATGCTTTTCTAGGACATTCTATGGGCGTCCAGAAAAAAAAAAATCCTCTAAATAATGAGTAAACAAACAGAAGGCTACCATAGATCAGGCAGTGCTCCTACTAATGGCCTACAGGCAATGAATAAAACATACCATTAAAAAAGCATTATAGCTAGGTGTGATGGTTCATATCCCTAATCCCAGCACTTAGGAGGCTAAGGCTGGAGGATTACCATGAGTTTGAAGCTTGCCTACCTAGTGAGTTCAAGGCTAGCCTGGACTACTTAGTGAGACCCTGTCTCAGAAAAACTCAAAAAAATTATAGTAAAAGACAAAATTCCCCCTCAAAATACTTTCCCTTGTTTTTAGCACACTTATTCCATCATTCTTGCCACTTTTTGAAGCAGTTCTGGAGTCCTCTTCTGTAAATGGCTTCATGAGGTGTGATTAAAAATACAGTGAGTACTGCCGCCACCTGCCATCCGAGGGAAAGGCAGGCTGGTAAAAACATCACGGTGGGGGCTGCCTCATTCACTGGATCGGGCATCGTGAGACTTCCGGCTGCTCCCCAAAGTTAAAAGGACCATGAGAGAGGGCTGGGGAGGTAGCTCAGAGGAGTAAGTACTTGCTTGGCAAGCAGGAAGTCCTGAGTTCAATCCCTGGTACCACCAAAAAATAAAAATAAAAGGGCCATGAGAGGCAAGTGCTTTGAATTGATCTGAGACATCAAGTCAGCTGGAACAGCACAACTGAGGACACCCAGAAGAGGACTTCCAGAAGTGCTTTGGCAAGTAGCAAGAGTCACTGGCGTCCAAAGTAAGTGTTTTGAGAGGGATTAATGGTGATCTGTGTTTTGTTATAATATATGTTTTGTAAAAGTGGAACATCCTCCTTCTGTGTCAATCACGCTTCACACACCCTGATTCCATGTATCCTGTAAATGGCCCAGAGTTCCAGGCAATAGGTCTATGTGTTTTCAGAGTCGTCACTCGCACCTTCATGCACTCTTAGGCATCCACCTCCACTAAATGCCCGGGGTTCGAATGGGCCACACAGGAGCCCGACCTTCCCAAGCCAGGCTGGGACGGGGCAGGAGGATCCCCAGGAGGTGGTGGCCTGGGCCAGGCTCCAGCTCCTGACTCCTGCAACCTTTCCTAAGGCACCATCTGAGGGCTTCGTTACCTGCTCGTACTTCTCCAGCTCCGTGTGGTAGATTTGTCTGATCTGGGAGAGTTTGGCTCGGTAATCGGAATGCTCCACTGAGTTGTCAGACCCGGCTCCTCCGGAGGCCGCCGCTGCAGCAGCCGCTGCCGCCGAGCCCCCGCCCTTCTCGGGCCCGGCCACACCCTCGGCCAGCAGCATGTTGTCCAAGCGCATCAGCTGGGGGTCTGTGGGCTCTTCCTCCTGCGCTCCCCGGATGCTCAACACTGCGAGAAACCAGAGAGGAAGGACAGTCAGCACGGTGGTAGCCCCGGAGAATTTAACAAGTACCACACACCAGTCGTGCCACACGGCCAGATGCACCTCCAGATTAATCGCAGTACTACATCTGAGGAGCCAAGGAAGGACTGGGAAAGAGAAGCCCAGAAGGCGAGAAAATGAAGGACAGTTTTGTTTCGAAGACTAGCCTCACTCCACATCCGAGAAGCACCTGCAATAGCAAACCTATGGAGGCAGAAAGCCAAATACTCCAGGGTTATTCCAAGGGAGCACAAGGAGCTGGAGTGGAATGGATGCAGCTGCATTTTAATAAGATGAAGGGGTTCTTGAGGTGATGTGATGCACTTAGCGCCTCGGAAAGGTACACATAACAGTGGCCAAACTGAGGCAGGACATGCTAGCGCTGCCTGTAATCCTAGCATCCTAGAGGATGAGGCAAGAAGATTGCAACGTGGGCAAGCTAAGGACTTAGTGAGACTCTGTCTCGGAATAAAAAGTACTGGCGATGCGGTTCAGTGTGGCCCTGGATTCGATTCTTGGCAAAAAAAAAAAAAAAAAAAAAAGTCAAAATTATACCTTCTATAATCCCATATATGTTACCGCAATAAAAATTTAAGGCACAAAAATATAGCTATAATCAAATGTTTTTGTTTTGGTTTCAGGCCTACAAAAAATATTTTTCCTGTATAAATCTAGATTTCTACTGAGTTTATTGTTTTACACTCAACTTCCTTCGTAATGTTTGATGAACCTATATTTTCATTTCCAAAATCATCTAGGCTGAATAGGCCGAACTAGTGGAGAGAAATCAAGACATTTCTCCAGGACTAGGTAATGGTGTAGTGAAATCTAGGATGGAGGGATGCTGGTCCAAGGACAGCCATCCAGCTCCAGCCACTCCAGGTGAAGGGGTCTCATGGGAAAAAGGATGCTTCAGAGCATCCGGAAGAGCCAGCACCTGGGTAGCCGGACCAGTGTGCTCTTTGATGAGGATTCTCAGGCCAGGAGACAGCTGTTATTTATTAGAACGCCACAACCTTGAGGGGGTGGAGTTGGGCGTGACTTGGGCTGAAGATCAAGTGATTTAGCAAATCAGCAGAAAAGCAAGACAGTCATTTTTTACTACCTGCATACCATCTGCCATAAAATAAATCACTCATTCAAATCCAGCTTCATCGTCAGCAGCTAAGTCATTGTTAGAAGGGAACTACAACAGGACTCTTTAATTCTAAAAAAATGAGTGGGTAAGGAAGGAAAGGAAGGAAGGGGTAAAGGCAGAGGAGGTGTCTGAAGATGCAGACACCCATGGGACAGAGGGAAAGCATTCCCAGTGGGTGCACCTGAAGGGCTTCCAGGGCCAGGGGCCACCACCTGCTGTGTCCTAGGCTGAGATGGGCAGCCCTGGTGCCGGGCTGTGACAGGGACAGTGGAGGTGAGCTGAGGTGAAGGGGAAGCCAGGTGCTTGGGGCACTCTGAGGGGCAGAACCAGCACCAGTGTTGGTGGTGCCCACTTGCGCCTACCTTCCCACAGGCAGGAAGGGCGGCAACCTTGGAAACTGCCCAGCAGATCCCACGGCTTGCTCCTGAAAACACTTTAGCATGGCTCTCAGCAAACGGAGCAGCAGCTGGGATCAGAAAGGGGAAAAGGCACAGGGAGAGATCCATGCTCTCAGAAGTGAGAAAAGATGGACAGAAGGAAGGTGGAGAGGTGGGAAGTGAGAGAGAACAAGAAAGAAAATTCCACCTCTGCACATAGACCACAAACGCTTCGGTTCCCAGTCACCACTGTCTTCATTTACAACCTGAATTTGTTCTGAATATTCTGCCTCACGTAAATAAGATTGCTATCGTGGTGATAGCAGACAGCACAAGGTGAAAAGATTGCAGAGGTTTAGTTGGTGGACTCTTCATTTCCTGACAGGGAACTCTTTGCTTGGGGTGCTCAGCAGACTGAATGGGCAATGGCCCTTGTGATCCCTGAATAAGAAAGACTGAGCCCTGCTCTTCTGTTTCTTACATTTATTTATTCAAATCCTCAGAGTCCTCTAAAGAACATACCACCACTAACAAAGATTTGCTTAAGAAGGTACTGAACCTTGAGAACATTCCATCATCCACAGTGAAGAATGAATATTCTTATATGTGTGTGTTTTCCTTTCCTGTATGTAAGGAGTAGCAAGTGCTTTATCAGCAAAACTGTCTAGGACTCATTCAAAACTTACAAAAAGGATTGCCTCTGAGCCATTAATGAACAATATGGTTGTTTTACTTTGGCCTGGTCATTCAAAAATATATGCTACAGCGCAGCTTCCACACTTGCATCAGCCCTTTGAATGCTGGGTCCCACTACTTTGGAAAAGAGCTCACCAGCCTCCGCAGTTGGCAGGAAACTTCCCTACCATGCCAGGGCCGGGCAGGTTTCAGCCTGAGGTAGTGACTCCTCCTGGGGTGTCCTCCTGGTTGCCCCATAAGCAATCCCTCTTGATGAACAATGCTGCAAGACGGTGCAAAACTATCTGGGCTGAGGAGCAACAGTAAGGCCCTGAAGGATCTTGTCACTGTACCACTGGTCAGCCCATGTCCTTTCCCCTTCCTCCTCCCCTTCCTCCTGCTCCCCTCTTCCTCCCCCTACTCCACCTTCCCCTCCTTCTCCTCCTCCTCTTCTTCCTCCTCCAAGAACTTGTGCACCAAAGGCGGTCTTTTGCCCTTTGTCATCTCAGTCTTCTAGCAAAATGCAGCAATGGAAGAAGGAAGAAGGCTGAGATATGCGCACTAGGGGCTCCAGTGCTAATCTCGTTTCCTCAGGTCCCAGGTGGGACTGTGAGCCTGTCATCTCTTCTAGTTTCCATGTACCTGACAGTCACCGGGGAGAGTGCTAGCTTCTGCCAGCTCTTGTCAGGTCCACCCAAACACCATTATCCGGAAGCACAAACTATTCCAGATAATCCCTCCATACCGAGCTAACCAACACTTCCCTGGGCATTGAAACTTAACCTGTTTAAAATAAACTGAGGGAGAGATTTAAGAAGGCTGCCACTGGACACTGAGAGGACACAGAGCAAGTGTCAAGCCTCGGAGAGAGATCCTGAGGTTCTTGGAGCCTGTGGCCCTGATGTGTGCTGATGTTTTTCCCAGGTATGAAGGATACTTTTGTTCATAAAGTGCATTGAATTTATCAGGATGGGGGGCAATAAAAGCGTCAGTGGGCCAGCGAGATGGCTCAGTAGAAAAAGCACTTCCCTGGCAAGCCCAAGGTTCTGAGTTCAATCCCTGGTTCCGCCAAAAGAAAAATCTTATTAAGCGTCAGCATTTTACCTAACCTTTCCATCATATAACAAACCCTTTATATACATAGTCCTTTAAAGTTTGGATTTACTATAATTGCATAGAATCGGCTGCTAAATATACAGCAAATGGCAATTTGGTTGATAGGAATACATAACTAGAATCCCAAATCAGAGATCTAGAGAGAGAAGAAAAAAAAAGAAAGAAAGAAAATGAAGAAAAACAAAACAAAACAGCCCAGATGCCCTCTCCAATTTGCACTGCTTAAACTGTACAAGTCATACTCAAATCACTAAAAAAGGAGGTGGCAGAATATGAGCAAGAACGAATATAAACAAGGAAAAAGAAGTAGAAGGAAACCTTCACCGTCTGCTGACATCGAAGCATCAGGTTCTGGGGGACTTGGACAGTGTGTGTTGGCGGGGGCAGGCGGCCCAATGAAGAATACTGCTCATATTTCAGTCTGGAACGAGGACAAGGCGAGTGCACCATGACAGACACGGGTGTTTGGATCCACCGGTACGGACTGCTCAGCTAGTCAGTTTAAAAAAACAAAAAACAAAAAACAAAAAACCTCCAACCACCATTAAATAAATGAAAAGGGTGATGTGTCTAAGCAGAACTGATGCTACCTATTTATTGCTCGAAGTCAGCACTCTGGCGAGGAGGAGACAAAATGATTATTTAAAAGCTCCGTTTTATCTCTGTGGCACCATGCAAGACTCAAATGAACCTTTCTCCAGGACACCAGAGATGTTAACACTCATCCTCCTAGATCCAATTTCAACCAGCAGAGCTGTTACCTAATCCAGCAACCATCACGAATGATCAGGTTCCTTCCTCCCTGATGGGTGCCCTGCCCCCTCCCTCCTTGGACCAACAGTTTTTTTTTTTTTTTGTTTTTTTCTGAGACATGTTTTAAAGGGCCCAAAGCCTTGTTTATGCCAGGGCCTGTAGGGCTTTAATGGCCCAGCAGGCCTGCACACTGCCACTTCCAAAAATTGTCATGGACTCCAGAGAACTCAAAATCAGCAGAGGAAGGGCCCATCAAGATATCGAACCCATCTAGTAATTCCTAGGGCGATTCCTTCCCACAGTCCAACTCCTCCTGTAAGGGACCAGTCAAGACAGGCAAGTGATTTATATAGAAATTGTCACAAGCCCTTTAAAAGCTTCTGGTGTCACATCCACCTTGCTGTGATTACTTGCCCTGGGGGTTAATTCTTTGGAAAAACTCCCAAGATAAGGGGACTGTCACAGTACTGTTGGGGTTGCTCTAACTACTGGTCTCCTGCTGTTCTTTCTTTTAATTCACACAAGGAAAAAGAAAACCAAACCCAAAGGCACATTCAAAAGCCCAAGAGCATTGGCAAGAGGGCTGTGAGAAGGGTTGTTTTGTCCTTAGTGGAAAGACACGGGCTCAGAGCAGCTCCAGCCAGCGCCCACTAGAGGGCACTCTTTCATCACCAAGGACTGGTCCAGCCGGAGTGTCCCACAGTCTCTGGTGTCCAGGGCTGGGAAAATGCCCTTGCTCATTTTCAGACTTCCACAGCTTTGCACAGTGAGTAGTTTTTTTGATTTGGACGGTAGTCCACGGATCCACATAGACTAAGAGAGGCAAAGAGAGAATGGAAGAGACAGACATACTGACCGCATGCAAGTGGCTTGAGACAGGCGTGAGAGTGCGCCCCGCTCCCCCGCA